AAGACGAGTATATATCTGCTTTATATTTTCATTGCATTGAAAGATAATTGTCGTTTTATTTTTCTAATTGATCTCGTTAGAAAAACATCATAGGAGTTAGTCTTTGTTTTGAACCGACGGTTTATATTTACACTTTGAAACGACCCAAGATTTAAATGCTACCTGTAAGTGCAATTGTAATCCTAATCGTAGGTGTATGACAGTTTCCGCAAATGTCTATTAATAAAATACTATTATAATATAATATTTGATGTCTTTTGATAATAGTACTAATAAATGTAGTGTAATACGATTGGGAAAATTAATCAATGGTTAAAAAGATAAAGGTGCTCTTGGAATTACTGAAAATTAGGGGACAATGTTTTCACGTTGTACATATATATGCCTATATGCAGCATATACCCCGTTAGTACGGCGGCTTTGTGAAAAATTGTGCACATCCTGCTACAAGCATGAAATTTGGCATAGACCTTCCTCAACTATTACTCTTTTATATCAGATAGGGAGGCATTTGAAAAAAATTATCACTTCCGGTAAAATCCAAAATGGCGGACATCATACTTAAATCAGCCCAATATCAATGGCTAGTATGTGAAAAGGTGTTATTATCAAGCTACTATCATAATATTTGGTACAAACCTTTGTTATGTACTACTTTTGGATATATTATATAGATTAGATGTCTTCAAAAAACCCTATTTCCGGTAAAATCCAACATGGCGGACATTGTACTAAAATAAGCTTATTTTTAGGGAGGGTAATTGAAATGTGTTTTAAAGTATAATGCTTCTATCATTATATTGTGCAGTAAACCTTTCTTTGGTGCTTCTCATGGATAAAATTTATAGGACATATGTCTTTAAAACCCCTACTTCTGGTGATATCCAATATGGCGGACATAGAAATATCAAATTTTTATTTTAATATTAATTTTTTTTCAAAATGTAAAGAAAATGGTTTTTTTTTGTGCTGGTCATTTAATTTTTGGCTTTAAGTTATCCTCAAAACCACTAATCCTATTCAACTGTAAATGTTTAAATACAAAGGTAACACTTCCGGTATAAAAAACCAATATGGCGTAAATTTCAAAGATGAGTCCTCAATCCATATCTTCGATGTAGAGTTTTGGGTAGATTGATTAAAACATAATAAAATCACTTAAGTACTAAAACATCTTTTGAATTACTAATTTATGGCCGCAAATACATGTTTATTCACAACCGGAGAGCTGATTTTCCACATTTACAAAGACCGTGATATTTTTTTTACATCCAATGTACAAGCTCCTGATAAGATGAAGAGGCCTCACAAAGAGTTGTCCAAAAGGGTTCCCATGGATTATATTTTTCCCTTCACCATTCATAAGCGTCTGGACTAGTTAGCATTGGAACCAATTCAAAGCTTGTTACTCATTCACACCCGCCATGGCATATTGCACGTTTTACATGCTGAAAAAGACTAGACCGAGTCGTGGGAATAGCCTCAATAAGTCTTTCCTCTTCCAAAAACACATGTTTTCTTGCTTCGTTAACCCCATCTAATAAATTTGTTCGATTTTACAACAAAACCACGTATCGTTTTATCAATGACATTATCAAATCCATATCTGGTGATGTTGGCTGATCAATCATCATTCTAAATGATAAAGTCACATCTTCAAACGCCATCCATGTCACCAACGCAGTTCCTTTTCCAGCAAACGTGTAATCTCTTAATGCTTACTGTATTTGGAAGGTCATGGATGGATATATATCTAAAGCTTTTCCCACTTCCAAATGCAAGCCAAAGTTCGTCTGCTCCTATGTCACGGAATAGCGAAACAGCAATGACAACAACATCAGTATCGACTGTTCGAGTCATGACTCAGTCAAGTCTGTGTTTCACTGCATCAGACACATGCATCTTGATTCTAGTGTGAGCCTCTTCATGCGAACATGGTGCTAAACTTGAAACATCATCATGTGGTGGATAACACAGAACATCCTCAGCATTTGTTGCTACAACTACCTTTTCCTCAAAATCTATTGAGCAATCTGCTGTGAATGAAAACTAAAAAGTTCTTTCTTATTGTCGTCATCTCTCAGAAAACTTTGCCAATTTTGAGGAATTTGTTTTGACCCTGGATTCGCCTGTGTATTCCCTTTCCCCTAAATGTAGCTCTTGCTTTTTGTAGCAGCCTGTAAACTACCGGTATTGTCTATGTACGCATCCGAGACTACATCCACTGTTGTTACAGTTTCAAGGTGTTTCATAACGAGTATGCTGATAGGGTATTATGTCCTTACCTTACCTTAAAACTGTTACAGGAGTGGACGAAGTCTTGGATGCGTATGGTAGTTGTAGCAACAAATGCTCAGGATATTCTATCTTATACACCACGTGAAGTATTTCAAGTTTAGCACCATGTTCGCATTAAGAGGCTGACACTAGAATCATGGTGCATGTGTCTGATGCAGTGAAACACGAACCTCAAACGAGTCATGATTCGAACAGTTGTTACTGATGATGCTGTCATTACTATTTCGCTATTCCGTGACATAGGGGTAGACGAACTATGGATTGTGTTTGGGAGGGCAAAAAGCTTTGGATAAATATCTATCAATGACCTTTCAAATGCTTTACGCAATGAGTGATCACACAGACTTATTGTGATCTATGCCTTAACCGGTTGTGATACGGTTCTATGTTCGCTTGAAAAGGAAAAAAAGACTGCGTGGGAGACATTGATGGCATTTGAAGATGTGACTTTAACATAAGGAATGATGATTGATCAGCCTAAATCAACGGGGTATAACTGTAAGATCGCACAAACTTATCAGATGGGGTTAACATGGTTAACGAAGCAAGAAAATAACTATTTGCGCAAAAGGAAAGGCTAATTGAGGCTATTCCCTCAACTTGGTCTAGTCTTTTCCAGCATGTTAAACGTGCAATATACTAAGGCAGGTGTTAAGGGGGACGAGCTTGGAATTGGCTCTTATGCTACCCAGTCCAGGCGCTAATGGATGGCGAAGGGACAAAGAGGATCACTTTAAAAAAACTCCTTCTGAGGCCTCATCATTTTATCAAAAGCTTGTACATTGTGGATGTAAGAAAGGATGCCGTGGTCGTTGTTAATGTGGAAAATCGGGTCTCCCGTGCACTGCTTTGTGTGCATGTGGTGGTGACTGTGAATAAACATGTATTTTTTACCAAATAGTAGTAATTTTAAAAATGTTTTATTACTTTTATTAGTGATTTTATTTTGTTTTAATCAATCTATCCAAAACTCTACATCGAAGATATGGATTGAGGACTCATCTTTAATATTTTTTTACCGGAAGTGTTAACTTTGTATTTAAACATTTACAACAGAATAGAATTAGTGGTTTTGAGGATAACTTAAAGCCAAAAGTTTAAGGAACAGCACAAAAAAAAAACATTTTCTTTACATTTTGAAAAAAGTTGAATATTAAAGTAAAAATTTGATATTTCTATGTCCGCCATTTTGGATATTACCGGAAGTAAAGGTTTTAAAGACATATGTCTTATACATTGTATCCATGAGAAGCACCAAAGAAAGGTTCCTGCACAATGTGATGATAGTAGCAATACGTTAAAACACATTTCAATTACCCTCCCTAAAAATAAGCTTATTTTATTACAATGTCCGCCATGTTGGATTTTACCGGAAGTAGGGTTTTTGAAGACATCTAATCTATATAATATATCCAAAAGTAGTACATAACAAAGGTTTGTACCAAATATTATGATAGTAGCATGATAATAACACCTTTTCACATACTAGCCATCGATATTGGCCTGATTTAGGTAGGATGTCCGCCATTTTGGATTTTACCGGAAGTGAGACATTTTTTTTCAAATGCCTCCCTATCTGAAATAAAAGAGTAATAGTTGAGAAATGTCTATGCCAAATTTCATGCTTATAGTAGGATGTACACAATTCGTCTAAAATATGCTTGTAGCCGCTGCACTAATAATCAATTATTCGATGTCACTCTCTTCCTGATCAATACTAACAACTATTTATTACATGTACATCTATAACCTTTGTACCGTTAGATGAATTCAGCTTTACATGAACACATGTATATTCATTTACTGATAATTTCATGGTTATTCATTTAACCGACAATGTATGTTGACATTATCAACGTTCTTAATTTCAATACAATATATTAGTATGTAATAACATAATAGTCAAATAACACTCTCAAAGCACGAAAAGGCCGAGTGTAAAAAAAAATGTGTTTTTTTTTTTTAGATACAATTTAAAAGTAAAACATTTCTGATCAACCTGAGACCATCTTAAGACATATTTTTTGATGTCCCAACTTTACGATTAATTGTAGGATTTAAATTAACTTGAGACACTTTCAAACTTATCAGTTAGTCCTAAGATATATCTTAAGACCATAAGACCATCTTAAGATATGTGATAGTCCTAAGATATTATATCTGGTTTATTTTTTATTTTTTTGGGGGGGGGGGGGGTTAACATTTTTTACTATTATCTTGACCTCAATAAATGAGATGATTGTGCTAATGAGGGAAAAAATTTTAACAAACTCTAAATTCTGGTCTGAAAATAAATAGTTTGTTAAAAAAAGAAGATTTTTTTTTTTATTTAAAACAAAAGCGCGAGAACATAATTATATATAGGTAGCATATTTTTGACAGGTGAACGATTCAGACTGTTAACAGCCTTTAGTATTTGTTCAAGCTTTTTAAAATATTTTTTATTGTAAGGGAGATGTGAATTTAGGTTTTGTTTTCGTGTTATTTTGTTGTTGCTATTTGGGTTTTTATGGTAGTTTTATTTGGGATATGATTTCAGACAGTTCACATGTCAATCATTATTTTGATAAATGCCATGATGTGTCAATCTTTTTTATGTTTTAAATTAGAATTCGATAATATACATGTATATAGTGTGTATAATCATAAATCAAACAACTGATAAGACGATATTTGTTCTCGCGTATTTAATACGATTATCTCTTTAACCAACAGGCTTTTGAAGGTCGCTTTGTCAAACGACAGGTAAGTGGTCACTAATATACACTATACAGATATTTATTTAATTTGTAAAAACAAAATACCGTAAAACATGCTCATAGGTTTTGTTTTTGTTGTTAATTATTAAAAACCGATACATGTAACATAAGAGAAAAGACATTTTTATCGATAAAACTTCCCGATTTTATGTTTGACTCCAAAACGTGTCCTTAAGATGAAGTGTGAAATCCTCCAGAATATCGATAATACTACTGTTGAGGTTTCTTCTGTCGCAAAAAGTTGAACTACTTATTCAAATCGACGTATGTAAGATTGATAAATAATCTGTCGCAGTCATGATTGGGGAATAATGTATAACAAAACTATGCAAGAAAAAAATATTCTGGTTTAGGTGTAGTTAAAAAAAACATGAATCAAAAATTGCTTGAAAAATCCCAAACATTACAAGAAATACTTTACACCATACTTACATACCTGTCCTAAGTCAGGACCCTGTTTCAGTGGTTGTCGTTTGTTTATGTGGTTCTTTAGTGTTTCTCGTTTCTCGTTTTTCATATAGATTAGAACGTTGGTTTTCCTGATTGAATTGTTTTACACTAGTCATTTTGGGGCCCTTGATAGCTTGCTGTTCGATGTGAGCCAAGGCTCCGTGTTGAAGGCCGTACTTTGACCTATAATTGTTTACTTTTTACACATTGTGACTTGGATGGAGAGTTGTCTCATTGGCACTCATATCCCATCTTCTTATTTCTATCTACTGACTTGCTTTATTTTGAACTTAAAAGATGTTCTTTGGTTTTTCAGTCAATAAGATTGAGAGCAACAATCAACGCGTTGTTCTTTTAAATAAATATAATTAATGCATCTACATATACAATCACCCAATGTCTGTCTACTCACATTAAAGGTACTTTAAATTGTACTGTGTATGCTGACAAAGATGCACATATGCCTTTTAACTAAACCCGATGCTGAAAAGATAATTAATAAGGGATTGCTGTCTCATGAAAATCCAATAATATTAATAGCATTAAAAATAATGTGTGTAAACTCTGTCACTTGTTAGTCTATGAAATTGTGATTATTTAGTTTAATTTCTAGATTTATATATAATCAAGAAAAACAATATTATTTTCCGTTTCTTTATAGTATTTGTACCAGTTTTCTTTACGGCTAGTGATTTCATAAGAATACACATACCTTTAACCGCCTGAACATTACAAAATACCTTCTTATTCGACTTGGTAAGAAAAAAAAAATATTTTCGTTTAACTGTAGTTGAAAAAAAATGTGTCCATCTGATGAAATAAATTTCAAAATCAGCTATAAAAAAAAAACATATACCCCCTTTTTTTAATTTGAACTTTATAATTATTTGTCATATCTTGTTCAAATTTTCTTATGCAATTATCTTTGATTTAACGGATTTCGTATCTACATTGTGTATATGTCATATGTCACTGACAGTTTTTAACAGATTTATCTTAATAATAGACAATAACTGCTTAATCTTTGTTGTTATACAATATCTCCTTATTTTTATTTTTATACAAAAAAAAAAAACAATAAGGAGATATGGTATGATTGTCAATGAGACAACTACCTACTTCTTAAAAATAAGGGGACCTCGGTGGCCGAGTTGTCTAAGTAGTTTATCTACAGTATCACTCGCCTGTCAACACTGAGGTTGTGTTCGAACCCCGCAAGTGGCCGGTGCCTTCGATTTCGCTCTTAATTGAATAGGATTACCAGTTTACCTGCCGAAAGTCGATGGTGCTCTCTGGTTTTATCCACCAATAAAGATTGGCCGAAACGATATGGAGGAACACCACTTATTCATCGCCCCATTGTTTTCTATGTTAAATTCCTCAATTTCAAGCAGTCACAAGTTCAAATAATGTGTCAGTCATTGCATGTCAAAGCAACACCTTATGGTGTCTTGCACTGAAAAAATTAAAATGCCTTTAATTGCATATAAGAGAGTACTGGTTCCCGGAACTTGGGAAGTACCAAAACAGGTACTTCAGATCTCAGATACAGGGAAAATGTACCTCCCTTTTAAATTTCCTACAATTTTTTTAATATCAAAATTATAAAGTCAAAAGGGGTTCTACAAGGATCACCAGTCATTCAGCTTTCATTGCATCTTAATATTCTTGTTGGACGTTTGTTAAATTTTATGCCGACTTGGCTCTTTCACTTGATTATTAAAGTTACATGTAGTAGTCTGGGCCCGTATGCATAAAACATCTTAACCTAAGTGTTCCTTAAAATTAGTTTTTACTATTCTTAAGTTGTATGCATAAAAATATGTAATAAAATATATACCTTCATGTGCTACTTTTAGAGATAAATGGGATCGCATTTTTTTACATTTACTCAAAATTATTTTAGATTCTTTGACATATCTGTATTTTGGACAGACATATATATATATTTATATATAATTCGTCTAAATAACAGCCCAACAATGTTAGATCTGTAAATTTGCGTTAGCAAATTTTTTGTTCTTCCCTGGCCGGGATTCAAACTCATGCAAAATCTGTTGTAGAGTCGTCACTGGTTCAGACGTACTTATATAAATATATAGAAATTTGTTTTGCATGCACACGTATACAAATTGCGGTTTTTATCCAACGCAATCATAGGTTTGAACGTTGTTTTCAATTTAGACTTGTTTATATTTTTTCTTTTGGGCTTGTATTATATTTGCCTTCGGGTTTATATGATCCGTTCATCCTATTTTGACTCCTCAAAATTCAAGAATCTATCCTAAATTGAGGTAAATTGTATGGCTTTCCAAATACCGTTTCGATTCCTAACATCACTGAAGAGACATTAATTGTCGAAATCAGGATATGGTGTACAAAAACCTTTGCACCTTTTGTTTGCGGTATATCATCTTTTCCGCAAGTTTATTGTTTTCTGTTTAGTATTAAATTTATAATTAAGATCCATTTATTACATCGGTGATCCGTTTATTTGGCAATCGCCAATGGCAGTCAGCAGGGTTTAAGAACATTTGTTGTTCGACCTGTTAGTTAAATGCGTTTTGTTAAAATATACTTTTTCACTTTTTTGGTCTTTTGGAAAATGTTGTTTGTGCTGTATTTAGACCCCTCTAACAAGAAATTTGTTTTAATCCCGCCACATTTTTGCGCCTGTCATAAGTCCAGAGCCTCTGGCTTTTGTTAGTCTTGTATGTTTTTTTAATTTAAGTTCATTTATATGTTTTGGAGTTCAGTGTGACGTCCATTTTCACTGAACTAGTACACAATTTTATTTAGGGGCCAGCTGAGGACCACCTTCGGGTGCGGGATTTTCTCGCTGCATTGAAGACCCATTGGTGGCCTTCGGCTGTTGTCTGCTCTTTGGTCGGGTTGTTGTCTCTTTGACATATTCCCCATTTCCATTCTCAATTTTATTTGCATGCACACGTATAAAAATTGCGGTTTTTATCCAACGCAATCATAGGTTTGAACGTTGTTTTCAATTTAGACTTGTATATATATAACAAATTTGCGAAAGCAAATTTACAGATCTATCATTGTTGGGCTGATGTTTAGACGAGTTGTATATATATATACAACACAGAATGTTGTATACCTTTTTCAGTGTCGATGTGGCATGCAGTATATTGGCGAGGCAGAACAGCCATTCAACAATCATAGACCACAATGAGGGTTGGTCAAGGGCCGAAAGACTTGTTCGGGAAAGGTTTTGGATAAGAAAGCTAAGGACAGTTTCCCCAAAGGGCATAAATGAAAAAACATAGAATGAGTCACTTATTTTCCCTACCATCACTCATTTTCCTGACATCATTTGTTTCCAGTTATACTCCGGCTTCCTTACTTGACTCTTACTGTTTTAAGATTCTTTTGGAATTTTTTGAATTTTACTAGTTTAAATACCAGGGTTCTTTTCATTTGGTAGGGACTCGATGATGTACAAGGACGCATCCACGTCCAATTTTTTAACCTTAGCCCAAATTTACTATTATTTTTTCTTTTCATTATAAAACTGCTATTTATTTGGGATGATAAATACGCAGCCTCTGTTTGACATATTTTACCAGCTTATATCGATCAGTGCTGTTTTTTTAGGAATGTATTTACACGCAGTTGTTGTAACATCTTAACTGACGTCATTTTGGAATTTTAGAGTTGTGCCAGTTCATATCTCTAATTACTATTTTCATTTTAGGCATGTCTTTGAGTCGTTTTTTGGAAATTTAAAAAAATTATTAGCGTCTCTACATATGATGTTCGGGTGAAACTGTCTCACTTTTTTTATTGTATAGAATTCAAGATTGCTATAGTTTAATAATTAGAATACTAGTAGATTGATCTGATTCATTTTACATCGTGCTCATACTGATGAAGGTGAAGGATATCTGTTATCCGAAAAATTTATAGTTACATTTGTTCGTTTATTGTCATTTTTTGATGATGTTATACCCTTTTAGACTGGTTATATATTATATTTTGTAGTGTACTGTATCATATTTATATGATCCATTTATCGTTGGCTATTATTCAGTCATTTTATATATATATATATATATAAAAACGCCTAAAAAGTGTACACAACAACACCAATAACAAAAAAAGGAACTATAAATGTAATTATTTATAAATATTTCGGATAACAGATATCCTTCATCAGTAAATATGATTGTGATGTTGAATGAATCATATATCAGTCTACTTAGATTAAACTATAACAATCTTGAAATTTATACAATAAAAAAGTCAAACCGAACATCAGGTAAGACGCTTGCACAATTCTAAATATGTGTTAAACACGACATAGGTTATATGACTAATTACAAAAGAGAGTTCAAATATATGCTTTAAATAAAAATAATAATGTGCGATATGAACTAGCACAATTCTAAAGCTTTAACGGTGACGACAGTTATGATGTTACAAGAACGATTGCGTCAATAAGAATTCCAAATAAACAGCACTGAACGATCTAAATTTGTAAATATTTCAAATTTGACAACGGTAGAGTAGTTACAA